TCTGTTGTAAATAAATCTTAACCAATGATTCCTAATTGCATCTACTTCCGGAAGGCCAAATAAAGTGCTTTTGCTTTCGCACTCGCACTGGCATTATGCTAATATTTCCACATAGTGACATAGACATGTGGGGGCGTGTTAGAACGAGCCATTTTAGGTAGGCGTGGCTGACTCTTAACTTTTATAAAGAATATGTCTTTGGATTTGAGACTTTAGTCTTTGCAACTTTACAGATCTTCTTTATGCACCAAGAGCTTGTAACACTCCAAAGAGAAAGGAAAACTTGAAATCGCATCATATGACCCCTTTAAGATTTTTTTAAGACCTGCAGAAACCCTGTATATATTTTCAATGCAGAGTACAAATGCTTTTATTTGTGCTATAAATTACAGCTACCACAAGATGTGCATATTTGTGTAACATGCTGTGAGCTTTCAAACCCATATTTGTTTGTGTGTTGCATGCAATAGTGAACAGCGGTGTGCATTTAGGGGAACCTTTGATGCTCGTACATCAATTGTAAAATTGAGTGTAAAATACAACCGTCTTAATCAGAGCCATTGTTGCGTCTCCTCTCTTCCCTCTCCAATTTGCAGTTTTTTTTGTTACTATTAAAATCTGTTGTTCAGCTTCTTCAAAGTTCATATTCTATTACGTCATTCCTGATAATCATGATAGATTAATTTATTGCCAAGAACAATATAGGATGGGAATTGACCAGAACAAAAAACTTTTGCTGCTGAATTGATCTCCATGATTGGTTTCATGACTCTTGAAGTAGATTTGCAACAAAGTTCAGATTAGAGTCATTATATGCATGTGTGATCAATACTTTTAAAGCCAGCATTATAATTTACTTCCATAAAGTGATGCATTTCAGAGTAAAATTACTAGGGGGCTTGTTTTTATCCAAACTAATTGGATTCTGTAAAGTTGTCTTTATATGACTACATAATATAACATATAAATCCTGTATTAAATCTGATATTTGCTTATGGTTCACATTGCTGTGACGCTGAACATGATAAACATGTTGAGGGTGAAATGGCCTGAAGTACACAAGCACATCATGCAGAGAGACCAGCTAGACAACCGCTCACACACACGTTAATCCTGCAAAAGCACACTACACAATACAGTGTGCTTCTGAAATCAGGTCTAGTTTTACCTGGATGACTGCGATATGCTCCCGGCGAGTTGTCAAGAATGACTATACTTGATAAGTCGTCATGTACAACGGACAGGTCTTTAATATAACTACCTGAATCCAGCGTACAGTGCTGCACAAGATAAAGACAACACAAAAAGAAGACAAAACATAAATTGCATTTCCTTTACTAATTTCCATCTATCTATCTTCTATCTTCCATTTTTATTCTTCACATGGCAAATGTTAATGCAAAATGAAACATCAAGAGTTTCAGTGGTTACCTGTCTATAGTATCTTCTTTTCAGGATTCCCTTGTTGTTATCCAGCTTATCAGCTACTGCAGAACCATAGATCTCCATACTAGCAGTGAACACTACTAACTCATACCACTGACTGACCACCTCCAGGAAGAAGTCCACATGCGGCCTTTTATGCACAAAGAATCTGACCGGGTGTTTGTCTATTACCACCTGAAAAACAACAACAGCTTATATGAGAAAAATGAAAAAAGACATGGAGTTTTTTTTTTTTTTAACTAATAATACAATACTACTACTACTACTACTACTACTACTAATAATAATAATAATGCATTATTATTATTATTATTATTATTATTATTGTAACACATTACAATAAGTTTACATTTGTTAATATTAGTTAACTACATTAGTTAACATGAACTAAACAATGAACAATGAAGAGGAAGGGGTGATTGTTGTTGGTTACTGTATGATGATTGAAATCGAGAAATGGCCTTAAACAATTAGTAAATAAACTGCAGAACATTGTTTTCTAAATCACGCACACATTGCATGTATTCTGACAGCGCTGCACGAGCGAGCTCTTCGTTTCCGCCAAAATAAAAGTTGACAAAGCAAGAACTCCAACATTCATAAATGTTAGTATTGTAATTTTTCTGTTGTTCTGTAAAATAAAATAAAAACTAAGACAATAATAATGATAATAATTACAACAGCTCTGTTAATACATTTATTATAACATTCACACATAGTGTTCAAATTGGGATCTGTAATATTTTCTAATGTTTTAAAAGAAGTCTCTTCTGCTCAGCAAGGCTGCTTTTCATTTTACAGTAAAAAATACATGCCTGATTCAAGAACGGGGTCTGATCGCCAAAAAATATTATTTTAGTAACTTATTAATTTTAAGTTAAATTGTGCTTTGTTGGTATAGTGTCTGCTAGAATGTTAAAAAACATTCAGTGTTAAATATTTTTAAATTGTTGTTTTGTAATTGATTTTTTCTTTGAAAAACAAGACAAAACAGTAAAAAGCACATTTTGGCTATTTAATTTATGCAATGGTGAAAACAATTATCAAAATACATGGGGAAAAAATTTGAAAAACTGTGTTCGGTATTCGGCCCAGTGTTTCATTTTGTTTGGTTTCGGCTTCGGCCAAGAATTTTAATTTCGGTGCATCCCTATTGTTCACAGATGTGCATTTTTAATACGGCAAATAAAACAAACACTTACTTTGAGGACGAAGTCTGGCGGTGTCCCAGGCCGCACTGTAGGTCTGAGAACTCCATCGTGATGCGAGTGGATCAACGTCTCGTCGAGATCTAAAACTAAGATCTTTCGCTTCACGGTGTCTGAACAGAAATACAAACTCCCATGTTACTCGATGAAAATCAGCATATGAAAACACTGCACACAAATGCAACACTGCAAGTTTAACGAGTTTCAAGCATTTAACAAACAGCTGTCTCAAAGACAACTCGCACTCAGATCAGTCTTTCTGTTGTCATACCACTTTTAACTTGAGGAGAAGAAAAGAAACACTCACTGAGTCTGTTTCTGGAAATGGGTGACAATAGTAAGATGTCATATCGCACTGTTTGATACTGGATTATCTAGAACAGGAAGGAGACAAACAGCCACCTCAGTACACCACATGTATTATACAGAAGAAGACAATGAGTACAACTTTTACAGTTTATTTAAAACATACAGTAAATAAAAATACAATCCATAACTGACCAGTTGAGGGATCATTCCAATTACTGTTAAAAAAAAAAGATATAAAAAATATATATATTTTTTTTTTAATACATCATATATATATATATATATATATATATATATATAAAAGATGTAGATATTTAAATATATTTACTAACTTATACATATTTTAATTTAAATTTTGACATGATCTAATGTAAATATGACTCATATCTGGACTGCTCTCTAGATATCAGGATTCAGGCATCAGGACATAAATAAATCATAATCAATAATAATAAACATTAGTTGATAATATTTACTATTGACTTAAATTTTTGTTATAATACATATTTACAAATGTTTATTAGTTCATATTTAATTTATATTAATTATAAATATTTATTATGTTTTTAATAAGTCATATTTTAATTAAATATGACTATTAAACTGATATATTGGCATTAGGGCGCTTCTGACTCCAGATGGCATCAAACAAACAAACGAATAACAACAACAATAATGTATTGGTTAAGCATTAAGAATTACTAAGGACATTTAAATAATTGCTAGTAAATACAGTAGTCAACATTTGAAGTGGAAGACTTGTTTAGGTTTTAGGACAACTTTGATGAAAGGTTTTTGATCCACTTCAAATGTTGACTAGTGCATTTATACAATATTACATAATACAACAATACAATACAAATGTAATACAAATATCCATTAGCTTCTATTTATATTGGTTGATCATTAATATTAACTACAGAAATTGCTACGGCTAGTGTGTTACTACTACGTTTGACAGCTAATTCCAGGTTGTCTGTAACAGTGGGAACCCTGAATTAATAAAAAGGAATGTAAGAGCAGTTTTGGAGTTGCACATTTCACAACTGGTCAATTAGCAGCTTACTCAAATCTGGAATGAACCTGAGCTCAAACTCCGATGGTTTTCCCTTTAAGAGGTCCGAGACCCTCCGCCTCGGTCCACTGCTCACCACAATGTGGATACTCTTCCTCTCTTTCTCCAAATCCCTCTCTTCTGAGCTATCTTTAGCCCTGCCAGCTGTCTAAAAGTATCAGCCGAACTTGGGAGAGCACAGTCGAGTGAAACTGCCAGGGTGACTTTGAAAAGGGGGCTGTTTATTCCCAACCCGATTTAGGCCTCAGTAAGGACTCATTCATAATGTCGGGTCAAGCTGAACCGACCCGATGCATGCGTGACTGTAAAGCATGTCTAGTGGAGTGTCTGCTACTCTAGCATCCATATCAGAGTCCCAGACAAGTAATACCTTTATCATTGCGCCTTAATGATCATCTTAAAGATTATTATACAACTGGATTGCCAAAGCTTGCAGTGCACAGTGCGCACTCAGAAAAAAAAGGTACAAAAGCGGTCACTGGGCCGGTGCCTTTTCAAAAGGCACACCTTTGTATCTAAACAGTCCATATTGGTACCTTAAAGGTACATATTAGTACCTAAAGTGTACATATTAGTACCTAAAAGGTACAAAAGTGTACCTTTCGAGAAGGTACTGCCCCAGTGACAGCTTTTGTACCTTTTTTTCTGAGAGTGTGGGATTACAGCCTGCTTTCCAAACCCAAGTGTTTACATACTCTGAGCTAAAGCATGTGACACGGTTATCAGCTCATTCTGAAAACAATTAACCTACTGGATATTCACATTATTCCCCATTTTAAATTCTAAATTATTTATAATATTTTTTATTAATATTATATATATTTTTTTTAAATCACGCAAAGACATATCTGAAACGTATTTTACCCTGATCATTATTATTTGACTATAAAGTAGTAGTATATTGTTTATTTAATGCCAATGTCAGCATCTTAGGCTATTTTCATGGCAAAAACAATTAAAAAAATTCTATAAAAACCAGCAAACAAACAAACACAAGTTACATTACGCCAGATTTTCTTTTTATATTAACATAAGATAAAAATTCTAAAACTTTTTCTGGCAAAATTATACTAAATAACTCTTTAAGTGAGTTCACTTAAAATGCTAAATAACATAATACAATATATCTTTTAGCTTTAGCTAATTTTAGTACTTGGGCTTATTTGATTTCAGTCAACATTTCTAATTATCGTTTTAGATTTTCATCTAATATTTAGAATTTATTTCAATAGTTTTACTTTTGGTAAATGATTTACTGGTTGTAAATAAACTTATTTAATAGACTAAAAATAATACATTTTGGTACCAAGTCGTATCTTACCCTGAATTTGCTCCACAGTACAAAAAATAGTATATAGTAGTCGAATATATGAATAGTATAGTCGCTTTGGATAAATAAAAGCATCTGCTAAATTTGTAAATGTAAATGTAAAAACAATACATTTTGGTACCAAGTCGCATCTTACCCTGAATTTGCGCCACAGTACAACTACGTCTAATTTGTGTGTCTAAATGATGTTAATTTAGGTGGCAAGCTTTATTTTACTCTAATGGTAAATGCTTGACTGTTCATGAACACTTTAGGCCCACAGTAAAGTGCCACATTAACTAATTTAGCTGTCACCAGTTTGTAAATATCAGTGTATGTTTAATGAAATCAGTGTAACATATTATTCATAACCAGCAAGTCGTTGCTCTTCTCTAGCTGTGCTGTTGACAACCAAGCAAACTGGTCTTAACGGAGACATAACAAACTGGTTATGGGATACATACCCACATTAAAAAAATACTATAGTAATTTATAGTAAATACTAGTGTTTTTGAAGCATACTGTAGTAAAGTACTTGAATTAATTTGTTGTGATAATTCTATAGCTGCTGTGGTAATATAAACAATGGTATATTATACTACAATACACTACAGTCAAAATTAAAGTATACAGTTTATTATGCTGTAGCATTCATTAACAAAGTGTTGCGAGCACTATAATATACACACACAGTATAATACACTTTACTATAGCATGGTACAAAAACACTTATGTGGGTATGTTTCACAAAACAAACACTCGCTCTAACCAAACCTAGTCGGTTTAATAACCCAGACAGGTGTCTGCTGTCCCTCTTAGACACCTGTGTTAAAGTTCAGTGCCGTGTCATGCAACAAAAGTTGCTCGGACGTGTAAATGCCACTCTTTTCGGAAACTCACCGTCCGTATGTGCTTCCTGAGGATGTATAAGAAGAAGCTCCAGAGTCTGGAGGTCACGCCGAGGAAAGTGCGCACGCCGAGCAGACACTGGCGCGTCTTTAGCATGTCAACCATAACAGCAGAGTCCGTGAGGTGTGATCTACACCGCCGACAAGAGCAAGAGCAAGAGCAACACACCTGTGGAGATGAGAGGAGATCCTGACTTCTTTAGAGAGGTAGCTTCTCTGTCCGGCTCTGTGACGGCTAAGATGGTCAAACCAAGTGGAGTGTCGAACAAACGCCTCCGTGCTGCCGAAAGCCGAGAGAAGCGCGACCGTCCATCCGCTGCGGCATTAAAAGCACTATCCTCCTTCGGAGAAGCTTAGAGAAAGCGAAAAGAAAACACGTACAATTCCTCACCTCTGAGGACCGTTTAAAGCCAATACGGTAGAGCAGCACCGGCCGCCATCGCTTCCCTGACGTCACTTCCGCGAAGGGACCGAAAGTTTGTGCTCACGTGGCCGCGGAGGTTTTCAAACGGTTTCTCAATCGCTGAGAATTCAAACCAAACGGATCCATTTATATTTACTGGTTTTCTTGTCATTTAATTTATTTGGCCCTCTATTCTAATTCTATTTGATCTATTTGTTTTCTTTTTATTTAAAAAAAATATATATTTTTAAACTATTTGTTTTCTATTAAAAAAGACCTCTAACACTAGCTTTCTCTGTTCTTTATATATTCTGTTTGTTTTCTTTTTATCTATTATATAATTAACAACGAATTTGTGTCATGCAATTTATTTGACCCTCTAGCAATCTCTATTCTAATTCTATTTTATCTATTTGTTTTCTTTTTTATAAAAAAAAATCTATTTTTAAACTCTATTTATATTTAGTCATTTAGCAGACGCTGTTATCCAAAGCGAATTACAAATGAGGACAATGGAAGCAATTTATTATATAATAAATAAAAAGAAAACAGATAGAATAGAAAAAGAATAGAGCAAGCTAGTGTTAGAGGCCTTGTTTTGCTTGTGTTAATTGTATAATAAATAAAAAAGAAAAGGAATAGATAGAATAGAAAAAGAATAGAGAAGCTAGTGTTTTTTTTTTTTTATGTAAACAAGCAGTTTGTAAATGAATAGAGTGCAAGTCAGTTTTTTTAGAATAGAATTAGAATAGATTGCTAAAGTTAGAGGGTCAAATAAAGATGGAAGAGATGTTTTATTTTTAAACTCTATTTGTTTTCTATAAAAAGTTTTTTTTTTTTAAAGACCTCTAACACTAGCTTTCTCTATTCTTTATATATTCGGTTTTATTTTGATCTATTATAAGCTTAGAGAAAGCGAAAAGAAAACACGTACAATTCCTCACCTCTGAGGACCGTTTAAAGCCAATACGGTAGAGCAGCACCGGCCGCCATCGCTTCCCTGACGTCACTTCCGCGAAGGGACCGAAAGTTTGTGCTCACGTGGCCGCGGAGGTTTTCAAACGGTTTCTCAATCGCTGAGAATTCAAACCAAACGGATCCATTTATATTTACTGGTTTTCTTGTCATTTAATTTATTTGGCCCTCTATTCTAATTCTATTTTATCTATTTGTTTTCTTTTTATTTAAAAAAAAATCTATTTTTAAACTATTTGTTTTCTATTAAAAAAGACCTCTAACACTAGCTTTCTCTGTTCTTTATATATTCTGTTTTCTTTTTATCTATTATATAATTAACAAACAAAAAAAGCCTTGCTACGTGTACTGCGTTAAGCTGAGACTTGTTAAAGCACTTGTGTATCATTGCTCTTTTGTTGATTCTGATTGCTTCCATTGTCCTCATTTGTAAGTCACTTTGGATAAAAGCGTCTGCTAAATGACTAAATGTTCATTTCTTTTACTGAATACAGTGGTGGTTCTTTGATAATTAAAATGATCTAAAAAAAAAAATCCCCATAAGAATAAACAACAGATTTGGGGATTCATCTCAATGAGTCAAATCTTCTAGATTCGTTCATTAAAAAGATTCGTTCAGCAGTTCTTCTCCTCTCATGTCATGTCTCAGCAGTTGGCGATAAGTCTTTTTCTGCATTATCTCACACAAAAATCACTTTCAAACCAAGCCGCTTTCTGTTGGTTAGTGCCAGAAATTCGCATGACCAATTGGAAAATTTGTGAAATTTTTGGCCTTATGTCAAATCTCCAGTCACGTGGATGCATATTAAAATAAAGCAATAAGCCCCGTGAAGCCGTGGTTTACAGTGAATTTATAACAGCTAAGGGGCGTTGTTAGGCACTACGTGAAGCAGAGATGGGAAACCCCCTTAGCTGTTATAAATTCACTGTAAACGGGCTTATTGCTTTTATAAAACGGTTATTCCATATACGTGGTAAGGTTTCACAAAATAAAACCGAGCAAATAAAGTGTAATGATATTAATAAAAACAGTATTCTTCCACCAAACAATGTAGTTCCTCAGAAACGGTTGTGGTTCCAAAAAAGTGGTTGCCGAGCAACACACAAATGTTAACAAAGGTGTATGTTTGTAGTGTAATTTACAACAGCTTCGAACTTGGCTCAACCAATCAGAATCAAGGACCGGAACTATCCGTTTTATAATGACTGGATTTTGTCCGGGAAAATTTGCAGAACAACGGTAAATGATGAATGACTCATAAGTGATGAATCGGCTTTTGAATTTGTTCACCATAAAGATTCGTTCAGTAGCCCTTTCTGCATGTTACGCCGTTACACCAGTAGTCTACGACAAGTGACTCTTTTTCCGAGTCATTTTACACAAAAATTACTTTCAAACCAAGAAGCTTTCTGTTGGTCAGTGCAGGGAATTTGCATTACCAATTGGAAAATTAGCTACATTTACGTCCTCACGCGAAAGTCCCAGTCACGTGGACTAGAAGTTAAAATGCATGGATTTTATCCGCAAAAATTCGGTGAACAACAGTGAGTGATAATTCAACTCATTAGAATCAAATCTTTGTTCACCAGAAAGATCCGTTTAGTAGCCCTTACCGCACGTTACATCATTAAGAGCAAGTTACTTTTTCACTTTTCGTTCCATATTGTTCCAAATAAGAATTTCTTTCTTCTGTTGAGCACAAAAGAAGATATTTTGAAGAATGCTGGGCTGGTAACCAAACGGTTGATGATAACCGTTGACTTCCATTGTATTTTTTCCATACTATGTTAGTCAACGGCTACAAGTCAACATGACTTAATTTTCATTTTAGGGGGAACTATCCCTTTAAGTATGTGAAAACTTGAAATAAAATGTGTAAAATTTGTATGCATAGTTGACTTTTAATATAAATTTTATCGATAATTTATTAAAGTTGCCCCTCCATGTCTACATGTATAAAAACTGAACAAAATTAGCCAAGTAATAAGTCAATAAAGATCTTAATCAAGACTTAAAATATTTTCCAATGAGAGTTTTTTTTAATCCTCCAATTTTACTACCAATACAAAAACTGCATAACATTACTAAGAACAGTGGTTCATCAGTTCATATCTGTTCTCAAACCTGGCCTCGTAATAGCTGATAGACAACAGACAGCTACAGACTATATGAGTCATAATAAAATAATAAATAATAAATATATTTATAAAGATGGATCTGACATTCACAGATTTAGGTCATGGTGTGGGCTGTCTTCATTCACACATCAAGATCATCATCTGGATCCTCCTCATCAAAGTCGTCGTTGGCATCAGGCTTGTACACGATCCTCCCGGAGCCAGGAGTCGGCTTCAGAAGGGCTGATTTTCTGCGGGAAAAAAAACAGAGTGCAGCATAAAAGACTCTTGTAGATCTTTTATATATAATAAGCATTTTATATAAAATTATTTACAACCAGCGTTGCTATTGTTGGCTAAAACTAAAAGTATTAAAAATTGTTTTCATTAACTGAAATAAAGTGAAATCAAATCTGAATATTACAAAATATTTTTTTTCATATTATTAAAATATTAATTTAATAAATAATATTAAATATTACGAATATTAAAATTAAATATTAAAAATGAAGAAAGTAAAGATAATAAAAATAAAATACTAAAATGTAAACTAAAATTAAAATGCAAAAAAAAAAAATGTAAAAAGCAAATTCGAAATATTAATAAAAACTATAAACATATATCAATAATACTAATACAACACTGTTTACAGCAACCGAGGTGTAAAACAAATAAAAAACTCTACAAATCTAAAACTAAAAAAAAAAAAAGAAAAAAAAAAGAAGACAAAAGCACACAAAATTACAAAAATTTCAACAAAAATTGAAATTAAAACTGAAAAAAAAGAGAATTTAAAATATTAATAAAACTCTAGTATGAAAATAATACTAAAACAGCGTTCACAAGAATTGAGGTCTCTTACTTTTCTTGGCTAAATACAAATGGCAGTGCCACTTTCTGCTTGGCTTTTCTCTCCTCCTCAGACAGACGCAGATTGAAAGTCAGGTTTGATGTTGGATCAGCCTGATCAGATCACAATAAAAGACAAACAGTTACAACGCAAAACCTCCAGCTGAAGGTGCTCTGAAAACCAAAGCGGCTTTGCTCACCTCAGACACATCTCGCTCTTTCTGTGCATGTCCAGGCTGACGTGGATTGGCCTGTACTGAAAGAGTTGCGTCCTCGGACACACTGAAATACTCTTCCTATAAAATTATTTCCTAGATAATCAGTTTATAATCTCATGTTTATTCAGACTAAAACCTCATATGTGACCCCGGAGCACAAAACCAGTCATAAGGGTCAATTTTTCGAAATTGAGATTTATACATCATCTGAAAGCTGAATAAATAAGCTTGTTAGGATAGGACAATATTTGGTCGAGATACAACTATTTGAAAATCTGGAATATGAGGGTGCAAAAAAATCTAAATATTGAGAAAATCGCCTTTAAAGTTGTCCAAATTAAGTTCTTAGCAATGCATATTACTAATCAGAAATTAAGTTTTGATATATTTACGGTAGGAAATTTACAAAATATCTTCATGGAACATGATCTTTACTTAATATCCTAATGATTTTTGGCATAAAAGAAAAATCGATAATTTTGACCCATACAATGTATTGTTCAGTGTTGCCAAGTCCGCGGATGTTCCGCTACTTTAACACTGTTGCCGCGGTTTGTTTTTCATGTCCGCGGGTTGAAGCGACTCCGATAGCATGATATTTATCCCCTTTAATCGAATTTTTAACTGGGGACCCCCTCGAAACGCGATTGGGCTAGTTTTGGGCTAGTAGCAATTGGGCGGGTTTTCTTGTGAAAACCTGGCAACCCTGGTATTGTTGGTTATTGCTACAAATATACCTGTGCTACTTATGACTGGTTTTGTGCTCCAGGGTCACATATCTTACCTCTTGCATGACTTTGCCTGACTTTGTGCGTCTTGTGGTCTTTGCCACAGAATGGCATTCATTGTTTGCAGGTGCCACAGAGATAACAGTACTGGCTAAGTAGCACACAATACCCACGACACCTTGCTG